TTTCTTGGAATAGAGCTTCAGATGCTAAAATAAATTTCAGCTTTTCTTCTTTCTCCTACCCATGTGCCATGATTTAGCTTAGTTAGTTGTTGACCACACCCATAGCTTATTTTTAATAATTATCATTATAACTATGCAGTCAATAATAATAATATTTTTCAAATTGCTTAAAATATCACTGTACAAGTAATGCATATCACTCAAGTGAATTCCAGCAGGCAAGTCCATTGCACCATAGTGCTTCATTACATGTATGTAGTGCTGCCAAAATTTTGTGCTATCAGTTCTATATACATTTTATGCCAATTACTAACCTTTTTGTTATGTACATGTATATAGGAAAGATTTACAAAGATGAAAACATACTTGTGTTTCCTGAAGAAGGTTGATACTATTTTTTGTTTTATGATTATTCATGTCTCTCTATAGACAGCAAACTAGTAATACGCATGCCTCCAGATCCGTGTTTTAATGATGAATTTGTTGAAATGCGAGTCAAATTTGGTCAAACCTTTCGCAAAATTGTGAAAATTTTGAAAACATCCTCATCTGCAGTTGAAGACTTAAGTGACTCAATTAAGTTTTCATATTCATATCTTAAACCCAGATTAACGCAGTGCCATGATGTTTCTAGTATTTTGGAGCTAATTCAGGAGAAATGCTCACTTGTTAATATTAAGCTGTTAGAGTCCATCATGAGTGAGTTGGATGTCAAAGAAGCTGTTGCAGTTATTGATCAGTACAAGGCAACTGTTGAAGAATTTTTTGAGTCTGTTTCTCTTCGTCTTTCACTCAATGAACTGTTTTCCCCAATACCACCTCTTCGATGTGAAACAGCTACCATTTATGTTGCTAAAAATGTTGACGACTGCACTCTTCATGACATAGAAGAATTAATATCACTTGCTGCAAATCGATTGTCTAAAGTAGTAACATTGGTTGTTGTTAAAATGGGCAACTCCTTTACCATCACTTGCTCCTTTCCTGTCCTTCGCTCTGAGTCACTTATTGCTACTGCACTTGATAATATTGACTCACTCATTGAGAGAGGAGTAGAGAAACTAACCATTGGATACAGTACTGTATATGATCATAAGGTATTTGAATATAATTTATGTGCTGTCTTATTTTGATTATTCTAATTATAGCTATCTCAGAATGATAAAGCAGCAGCAACTTTTAAAAAATACATATTGACTTCAGGTAAGTAATATCAAATATTTTTAATATTAATTTTGTTCTAGAAATGAAACAGCAGTTGTATGCATCAGTTTACAGCAGTCAAGGTACAATGGAGCAGTTACTAATATCAAGGACCATACAACTACTGAATAGTGAAGAGGAACTGGCTAGTATTCAACAATTGAAAGAGAAGAATGAGAAACTGGAGGCTGAAATGAAAGTATTATCAGGAATGAAGTGGGAGGTAGATCAATTAAGAACAAGAGAAAGTAAAGACAAAAGCAGTATAAACAATATTCATCTTATTTTAACTGTAATAGTCGAGAAAGTTGAAATGTTACAAGAGAAGATTTCTGTGCAAGGTATGAAGATATTAGAGAAAGAAAGCCAACAAAAACAGCTGCAGAAGTTTTTGGAAGAAAAAGAATTGGAAAAAAAAGCTGAGCTCCAGAAAATAGACGAATTATTGTACAGTTCCTTGCAAGAGAAAGACACTGAGTTACAAAAAGTCATTCAAATGCAGCAGGTTAATGATACTCAATATTTACAAGGTATAGAATAGTGCTTTTGTATTAGTTTTACCTCAATTACTAATAGCAAAAAGAGTGTTTTTAGAGCACTTTATTGAGCTATCTGTGGCAATAGCTGTCACTCCAAACAGACTGTCTGTTGTGAAGCAGCTCTTTGATAGTGGCCTTGTCTCTGAGACCAATTTGCATCAAGCTACAGAAGATGATACTGTGTCTGGTATTGAAAAAGGAGCTGTGCTTATGAAAGAACTCAAAGCATTTATCAATGAAAGACCTGAATTGATCTCTTCACTAGTTGCAGTACTTGAGAAAAATGAGGCCTTCAAATCAATAGCTAAGAGGATCAGAAAAGGTTAGCATTATTATGTACATTCCTTTGAATGTGAATGTGTGCATTGTTACTGGTCGTATATATGTAGCCATCACTATGGTAAATTGTCCATATACATTTGCATGTATATGCTTGGATCATAACATATACTCATGTATAAGTAAAAGATGTTTGTCCTGGGGTCTATTGCATTCATGTTGTTATCATTT